CATAGAAAATTAACAGGAAGGACATGGACCTAGTTTGAAAAGGGAAATCCAAAATGTACTGGATATCTGCAACACGGATGAGGACGGCTGCAAGTTTTACACGGATCCTGGACCTCGGTGCTCTGATCATTATCTCATGACTACACCTAGAGAACTGTCAATTAATATCTCCATCTGAAAATATACCATACCAGGCACCTCAGTACTGCAACTTGTTATCTATGTAAATATGCTAATCAGCTAACGATCAACAACCTTTCTTCAGAATCCACCTTTAATCTGTAGCAAAAAGAAATCGATGAAATTAAGATTTAGATTAAGACTTTAGAAAGACTCATATCGGGGTTTTTTGTTGTTGTTTTAGCCTTTGGACGACACCATGAGAACTACTTTTTCCAGTTTCCAGTCGTCATGCTAAATCAAGCTATGCAGACATGGCAGTCCTGTCTATCCTCTGAAACCTAAACCTGACCAATGCATCAAACTGTAGGCATAAAGGAATAACGTCTACCTGTTTAATGAGGTGGAACATGGCACGTAGCTGCAGCTCAGACTCATCACCAGTCACCTCTAGCTATATTAGTTATAGTGGATCTCCTGCAGCAGGAAGCGATGGCAGGTCTTCTCTGTTAAACTGGACGTGTCGGACTGTGAAGGGGACAGCTGGCCCAGCTTGATTCATTCTCTCTCTTTTTTTTTTTAAATCACTTTACATCGTGGTGGACTTCGACACCCTTGTCATGTGTTTCCACTTTTGCTGTGACTGTATTCCTCTTCATTATTCATTCAAACAGAGTTGCAGCAGTGGCCAGCGCTCGGAGCAAATGCCTTCCATGTGTCTCTAATTGCCTCAGTAGAGGTATTTAACACGAGGTGAAGTCATTAACACATGGACACACTCGTCAGATGTGGAGCCAGGTGGCCGAGGGTGAAGGAGTCGTCGGCTGCACACGAACGTTAACGCGACATCCACCGGTGGAGATACCCGGGACATCCATCTTCAAAATGTTGCGCAACACTTTTCAAGGGGAACGTTTTCACGAAAATATGTTACAGATAATAGAAGAACAAAGTATTAGTCGGATTATCCAGTGTGACTTTATTCTAGTCTGTTGGACACAAAATCAAATGCTGCAAAAAATATCAAAACCACAGAAATTGCCCTCATGACATTTGTTCTTTATTACAGATAGTTTTATTTAAAACCAGGCCTAACTTAATAAGGACACAGCACTTTAAACTGTATACTGAAATATCATCATCATCGACACAGCCAGAGAACCTGCTTTTCTTGTTTTACTTAAATCAATAGCCTCATCTGCTGTTCAACTGGGAGCACTGCAGGCACAGTGTTTTGATTACAGACTCATATCAGTCTAAAGAGGCTAAAGAGCTCTCAAAGTAATGCTGAGATTTATGAGTGAATTCACAAGCTTGAGTTAAAGTGGTCATGATTAACAGAAAGCGTTTCAGACCTCTTTCATAGAGGACAGTGACAGTAGGAAAAGCAGACGTGTAGGAAAACTCAATAAAAGATTGTTGACATTTAAAGAACAGAACCAGCATCGATGTTATTATTAATGAATTTTCTCCAAAAGCCAGTTAGTTCATATGATGAATATAGTGAAATAGTGAGTTGAGATGGCACAATGTCTCATTAGGTTTACATATATATATATCAGATTACTCTAGGGCAGATAATATTTTTTTCTGGTCACTTACTCTTATCAATTGCTTATGCAGGTAAGCCGGGCATGAAGAAGTATCCTTCAATATGGGTTTTTATGTACACATGTGGGCTGCAAAGTGGCTCGGTGGTTATTACCGTCGCCTCGCAGCTAGAAGATCCCCAGTTTGTGTCTCAGTTAGGACACCCGGGATCTTTCTGAGTGGAGTTTGCATGTTCTCCCCGTGCAGCGTGGGTTCTCTCCGGGTTCTCCGGCTTCCTCCCACAAGGTCTAAAAAACATGTTGAGGTTACCTGGTGATTCTAAATTGTCCGTAGGCGTGAATTTGAGTGTGCTTGGTTGTCTGTCTCTAGACTCCAGCCCCCCATGACCATGAGGGTTAAGTGGTGTATAGATAATGGATGCATGGATGTATACATGAGAACCCATATTGCAGATTTTAAACAACAGCTGTGACTTAATTTGAAGGTTCATTGCTTAATCCGTCCATGATTTTATTCCTTGTATTTGTTAATACTGACATATTGTGTTTTGACTTTTGCATTAAGGGTCTTTTTGTTTCACTTCATCTGTACTGTTGTCGTATTGACCTCTGGGTTTCCTGCTTTTGCTCTGTTGAAGCACTTTGTTTTTAAAAATGTGCAATATAAATAAAATTATTATTAGTTACATATCAAAAATGGATGCATTTTCATTGTGTCTGAACAGTTTTCAGTGACAATAATGCAAAATCTTTAGTGGTCAGTGGAAAAATTTGGGTTGTGGGTGGTTGTGCTGTTGAAACGCAGCTGTACAGGAAAGAAATGGGTTCCACAAAAATGTTCTGCCAGAATAATAGTAGTTGGTGGATATAACTCCAGTTCTATGAGTATGTGAGTAGCCCTCAGATTGGTTCTGTTGGGCAACCAGACTTCAGACTATGGCGGACCTGTCCCTGTTATTTCCTTTTTACTTCTTTAAGCTGACTTGCTTTTTCAAAAGTAGTTTGGTAAAGAGATGGTGACTACATCTGTCTGTTAAATATGAAACGGCTAGTTAGCCCAGCGTAGCATACAAGATTATTAAGGGCACACTGTCTCTGTAACAAAACACATCTTGTAACGCCTTTAAAGCTCCCTGATTAACTCATTGCGTCTCACTTGTTTCTCCAATACAACATACAAAAGATGAGTGAGCTTCACAGGGCGGTAAACTGTAAACCTCAGTTGTCTTTTGAACATGTTGAAGACGTCAACTGTACAAGGAGGGAGTCTTTCAGAGCTCAGCCATTTAAATCGTATTAAGGCTTCAAGTTGTGCACAATTAAGGCTGTTTCTGCTTTAAGTGTCAGGTTGGTACCGTCACAGGACAGCCAATGAACCAGAGATGTTCTCATGGTTCACCTGAGCTCCCCTCACACTCCACCTGTTGGCTCGATTTTGGATTAGCTACGAGTTAGGAGGAGTCAGGAACTGCTGAAATGGCACATCCACCCCACTGAGCTTCACAGTCGCATCTCAGGAAACCAAACAGAGAAACGATGGGGCGGTCATCCACCTTTACATACAGTCAGTGGAGGTTCCTGGAAGCTGACACCGTGTTTAAAAGTGAACACGAAAAATCCTGCACAAGTAACAGATGATGGGTGTAAATCTGGACACAGAACAAACAGGGAATATTGGCATTTCTGTTGATACACAGGGCACCTATGCATCAGGTTCATGTGCACTAGCTTTCAACATCCCAAGATAAAATGTTTAACTATGACTTGAATAGAACATCAAAACTCTAACCTATGTCTCCCAGCTCCACTATCAAAACTGCTATGATTGTAATCAGGCCGAATGCGGGACACCGTGGTGAGTCTTGGACTGCTGTGAGAGGATCTACGTCAGAGGGCTTCCCTTTAAGTCTATCAGGGACCAGCACACGGTCAGTGTAAACATCGGAGGACATCCCACGATCGCCGGCTGTCCCGTGCCACATGTCACACGCATACAGTTCACATGTACACACCGAAACCTATGTGCTGGGTCTTCATGTGAGTCATCCTGATCCAGTTCTCCATCGCACCTTGACCGGACAGAGTTCTGACTGAATCAAATTTAAATTTAAATCAGCATAAAGGAAGATATGCAACAGCCTGAAACATTTCATGTTATTCCAGATGTACACACATAAGTTTTTCATGATTATTTGAATGATTAAGCTTCTACAACAAAAATAACATGATGCAGCATGAATACACGTTGTGTTTCAGCAAATCCCATCATCGTTTGATCTCTTGTCTTCTTGTTGACAGTGTTTATGGCTATAATCTATCCTGGTTCTTATCTGACAGTGTGCCTACTGAGAGATCAGAAAAAGGCCCGTTTACTACGTGGTCCTAAAAGTGAGTAATGGCCTCCAAATGAGGGGATCATCAGCGAATCTGATGATGAGAGGAGGGGGAGACACTGAACCATTAATCAGCAGGACGATCTGAGGAATTTGATCCCTTTTGTTGGTGCTGATTGATTCGAGATCATCTCGGATTCATGTTAACAGAGGAATACACACTGATTTCGGTGTCAGCTCTGAGTCACTGTACAAACAGCGAGGAGCCACTTGCGTTTTGTGGAAATGTGCGCATTAACGGGGGAGCTTTTGAAAACGCGCTTCGTGTGCGTCACGGCTCCGTGGTTCGTTTGCTCTCCAGCGACTGGCTTCGTACTGATAACAGACAGCTGGACAGAGAAACACATGATGTGGAGCAACGGCGACAAAACATCATAATGGGATAACTTTATTTGGTTGGCCCCTAATTGGTGCCTGTTGTAGAACCATAGCACTGAAGGGAAGAAGATGGTTTCTTTTCCACTATTTATGTTGAAATAATTAATTTCAACATTAAATCAATGATAATAAACACTGTAATTTAATTGTATATTCAGTTTGTGTATTCAGCTACAATATTGATATAGTGGGTTTCGTTTAATTTTGCACTTTATTTGGGACAGTTTATTTTATTTCTATCTTTTGTGAACAGTTTGTAAAGCTATGGAAGTTTCTATAGGCGCCTATATTTTCTGATAAAATCTATTTAAAAGGTTAAATAAGCCAAATGGCCTCAAAACTTTTCAAATCACAAATAAAGGTAAACCAGTCATTTACTCATTTTTATCTTTATAGCTGACTCTCGGGTCGTTGTCGCTTCTCCTTTGTGTTATTTTTTCCGTCATCAATCACGCCCCAATCATCTCTCGCTGTTTGCTGAATACAGGGAGAGCCTGTCATCAGAAGCCTTATCACCCACCGTCTCACAGGTACAGAGCTCAGTCCCCCCTCTCTAGAAATGACAGCAGGAGCTCTGCGCCTCTGCCTCCTTCTGGCTCTCCAGCTGAGATGCGTCAGCCCGCTGGTGATCCCGCAGCACAGAGGGGCGGCGGGCAAGCAGGACGGTTTGGATGCCACCAACGCGGCGAGTCAGAAGCTGGACGCGCTGTTCAACCTGAAGGATTTACCCCGAGGACCAGCGGCGGCTCCTCGAAAGAAAGCGCCTCAGTTTATGTTGGATCTTTTTAACGCGGTGTCAGTCTCCGATGGGACAATGAAAAGCCAAAAGGAGATTCTGGAAGGAAACATAGTGCGGAGTTTTGAAGATAAAGGTGAGCAAAAGCTTGTCAAACCGAAACATTAGTGAGAAAATGATATAATTTTTTTAAATATAAGTAAACATTTGGTTTGCACCGTTTAGTACTATGGATGAGCGTGCGTAATTGCAACCCAAAGTTCCAATTACGCACGTTTGCGCACAACATGTGTCTGTTTAACAACCATTCCTTTAATAACAGATTGTTTTATCGGCTCTCTAAAGATGTTTATTGGATGTTTTGTCGTCTGCAGGTCGTGCTGGAGAGCAGTTTCACTTTTTCAACTTGTCATCTTTCGGTAAAGAGGAGAGGATGATCAAAGCGGAGTTCCGCTGGTTCAGAAAGAAACAGAAGTTTTACCTCGGAAAGTCACATAGCCCGCATTTCTACAAGGTCAGCTGGTTTGAGGGAGAATACATGAGATCACAAAAATGCAAAGAGATCTACCATGTTTTTGACAGAAGTGTTGGTGTTGGCTGATACACTATTTTGGAGACTTCAGTAATCCACCAAAATGACCATGAATAAGATCACTCATCCTGCCTCAGTGTCCGCAGATATTTCATATTTACAGAGCTTTAGCACAGATGTGGTGGTTTTGGTGAGAGAGTGACTTTGCCAGCGAGACTAACATTAGTGTTCCAACTGTTCAGGTGGATCTATATGAGGTGTTGGACAGCAGAGTGAAGCCGTGGAGAGGAAACCTCATCAACTCCAGACTGGTGCCCTTGTACACGCAAGGATGGGAGGTCTTCAATGTCACTCAAATAGTAAAACCCTCCATATTCTGATTTCATGTTTTAACAAAGACTTTTGGCTTCTTTTTTTCTGCCACATTGTTGCTCAAGTGTTACATTTCCAGTAAAACAGTATTCTGTTGTTAAGTCATTTCCAGTTCAAACTTATGTTTGTTTGGAGTGAGATATGATTTGTTAAGAACTTTGCAAATGACTTATCCCCAACTGCTCCAATCATGCTTTGACTTTCAGGCGTCCAAGTGGATCCGGAACAGTCATGAGAACAATGGCATCCTGGTGGTGACCACATTTCCATCTGGTAACTGGATGGATTCAGTGGTGCCGTCCTCTAAGCAGAATGCAGAGTTGACAGACACAAACGCCTTCTTGGTGATATTCTCAGACGACGGGAGATCAGCAGCATCAAACCAGTCCTACCTGGGTAAGATGGTGGGAGTGTGTTGCATAGGATGGATGTTCTTCTTGTACAATGAACTAAAGACTTAAATTGATATTTTAACATTCTGTGTCCACCGCAAAATGGGTTACTTTTGATTTACAGCGTCCTTTGCCCAACCTGCAGCAGCACCTGAGCCCCATCACATCCGCAGCAGGAGGCGACGCGCATCTTCAGGTTTCTTACCCGACGGCCGCCCCCAGTCCTGCCAGCGGGTTCCCCTCTTCGTTGACTTCGACGAGATCGGCTGGTCGGGTTGGATCATCTCTCCCCGCGGATACAACGCCCACCACTGCAAAGGCTCCTGCCCGTTCCCTCTGGGAGGAGGCCTCAGAGCCACCAACCACGCCACGGTGCGCTCCATCATGCACGCCCTCAAGCTCTACAGCGATGAAGTTGGAGCCCCCTGCTGCGTGCCCGACAGACTCCAGTCCATCAGTCTGTTGTATTTCGACGACGAGGAGAACGTGGTTTTGAAGCAGTACGACGACATGGTGGCGTTGAGCTGCGGCTGTCACTGACTGGCTGCTCGTCTCCTGCATGAACAGTCTCACAACAACATGTGTAGGAGCTACAATGGTTCACAACACAAAATGCCTTCATTTCCCAAGGCTGTGAGAATGTGAGATGCCTAGGTTTTTGGGCTTGTTTTTCCATTTGCCTCACATGGCGAGCTTCTTTTGTTTTGCACATAAAAATTGCAACAAAGTCTGCATCTAGTGGCACTAACCAAACACAGGACTTTGACCGAGAAGAGTGGCGTTTAAGTCCCGCGTGGGGCCTTGTTGTGTTTTCAGTGGTCATTTTAAGCCACTGCTGTCATTTTTAGTCAGTATTTTCTTTGATTTATGCTACAAACCTACTCCGATTAGATTAGACACCAAAACTACTTGATTATAGTTTTTAAAAGATCATGGTTTGTCTTAAAACATACAATGACGAACTCCCAAAAACTTACGCATCTCACAATGTCACTGCCTTTTTACTGAAAAGAACAGATTTGGTGCTGTAGACCAGTGTAGCTATCACACATGTTGGCTTGAGGCTGTGCTGCCTGCACTCTTTACCACTGGGACAGTGAGGGGTGGGATGGTGATGGTTTGCTGTATTTTCATGCATATGTTTAAATATTGTATTATTTTGAGAAATAAAAGAAGTGCTCCTCAACTGTTAATCACTGATCCTTTGTGTGCTGTAATCCAAGGATCCCAAACTATTTAGTTTTTGGTATTCAACTGACAGTATCCCTGAATATATGCGAAAAGAGCCGAATGACTTGGCCGACCCTCAGTGTGGTGACACTGTCCATGTTGCTGACACAGCATATAAAGTCCCATTAAATATATATTTCTCTGTAACGAAGTGGGAACGTATTATACTGGGGCTACAGCAAACAAGTAGTTTCTTTATTGTCAAAGTAACTGTGGAAGGGTCCATCACAATTACAGCCTTTAAGTCTGCCTTTAATTTTCACCTAATTTTCTGTTTCCTGCTGCATGACCCCTGAAGACTTCAGAGGAACTAGAGACTTTTTTGTGGCTCGAAAATGTTTCATGAATGATCAAAAATTATTATCTACTGAATATCTGACTATTATATTAGAAAACACAAGAAACGGTGTAAAAAAGCAATAAATCCAAACAATGTTTTTTCAGTGATGCAAATTTAAGGAGAGACTAAATGTGTCCATGGCAGTTAACCTCATATGTGTTTATGTGGAAGAATAATAGCAAAGGAACCGTGTTTTTCTACACTTCCCACAAAAAAAAAGCAGTTTATATCAATTTGTTTTTTAAAATTTTCTGGAAACAATGAGTGGTTGACTAAGACCTCATGGCACGATATCTCATGTGGCAAGAATCAAACTTCATTAGTAGAAAGTAACACATGCTCACGACTTGTTCTCCTTTTTGGAGGAAGGAATCAAATCTTCCCCGAAATCCATTCATCCATGATGTATACACTGCTCAGTCCTCTGTAGGGTCATGGGGGGGCTGGAGCCTATCCCAGCTGACTCAGGGTGAAGGCAGGGTTCTGTTACACATAGAAACAACCAAGCACACTCATATTCACACCTACAAACAATTTAGAATCACCAATTAACCTCAACATGTTTTTGGACTGTGTGGGAGGAAGCCGGAGAACCTGGAGAGAACCCACACTGCATGGGAAAAACAACTCCACACAGAAAGATCCTACCAAGATTCCAAACAGGGATCTTCTAGCTTTGAGGCGACAGCACTAACCACCGAGCCACCCTCCACGAAATCCAACCTACTGAAAAAAAAGGTCCAGTTTCCACATTTATCACCTCTGCATTGATTTATGTATGTTATTATTCAGCCACAAGGATATTTCTCATACAGAGCAGTGGACTGCACAACTCTGAGTGATATTATGGGCTTTGTTTAGGCACTATGCCACTTTATGATTGATATGTCTTGAGAAAGTCCTGTTTTCAAATAAATCAGATGTGATGAATGTGTGCTAGAAGTGACTTATTACAGTAAGAGTCAACAAGGAGCAGCATCCATTATGTATACACTGTTTAATCATCACTAGGGTAGGCAGGGGAAAAACCAAAACACATTTTGGTTTAAACTTTGAAACTTTTTGAACATCTTATGATGCACAATCTTGTTTTGTTAGTTTGGCCACACACATTGAAATTTGTGCTTGTACAGTTAAGAGTTTCTGTTTTCTGTTTCATTTTGAAGGTTTTCTGGTGAACAAATGTTTCTTCCAGCAGCTGCCATCAGCTGCAAGCTGCACTTCTGCACATCAGCCTCTAGATGGACCTTTGGTGACTCTTTCACTTAGACTTTGCTATAGCTGAGACACCTGCACATACACTGGTTTGCAACAATACAGAGAAATAGCTGCATTAATCTGACTTTATTCTCAGGTTTCTGTTTTGATTCATTCTAACTTCCAGTTAAATGAAAGTTAATTGTCCTCCAATGAGTACAGTTTACCTGCAGAACTTGCGATGCTTCTAATTTTACCCTTTACTTCTTTTTCTTCTCTTATATCAAAATTAACCTAGTTTTCATTCTATTTTATTTGAATTTCATATTACAATAGTAACATCCATCCATCCATTATCTATAACCATTTGTTGAATGTGTGCAGGCCTTTTATAGGATCTGGAACGTGATGTTCTGTTGCCTTGGCTTTAAACGACACACACGTGTCAGAGGAAAGTTGATATATAACTAAATGGATTTATTTAAAAATAAATAATTGTATGTAATAAATACATAATTTATTGTCAGTTTCTTTCTGGATATGTTGGATTAAAATCATTTTAGATTAAATGAACTGTTTGATTCTAACATTGAGCTCAAAAATATTTTCCAGCACATTTTGATTAATGAATGACATTACAAACCAAACAAACTACTTAATGGACTTACCTTGTGTTAGTTGAGCTGTCAGATATTTCATATGCTGGTCCTGTTTCTACTACAGTCTGTGAGCCGAAAACTACAAACCTGCTCTGCAGCTGGGATCCTGCTGACAGAAAATAAAAAAGAAACAAGGACCATCATAGATTCACTTCCACACTGAAAGGTGTCCTTGTAGAACAACCCTTGACTTGTAAATTAAATTAGCACATTTTAATATTAAAGAATTGAATTTCCCATTGGTAATAAACTATGGTGAACATGTGTTTCAAGCATTATAGAAAAAAAATCAAAATTATGCTACTCTTGTTTGTAACTTATCACCTCTTACTACAGTTGTAATCCTCATTATTAATAATACACACTGAAAGATAATTAGTTTAAAGTTTTTAAAAGAAGAATGTCAGTGTAAAGAAATGAATAACACTGGCACAATAAAAATCTGTAACAACAGTTGTTTTTTTATTGGAATGGATCACAGACACAAGACAGCCCTGCTCGATTCTAGTTTAGAAAAAACGCAAATGCGACAAACTTGCAAAACCGATTCACCTTCATGTCCTCTGCATATTAAAAAAAACAGTATTTGCAGTAATGCCAGTTCAAGCTTTTAGACAATATAAATGAAATCTGTGACGTATCAAACTCATCCACCAGGTGTAATTTTAACTTTGCATGCAAAATGTTTTTAAAATTTAGCTGTGTGGACATGACAAGTTAAAATCAAAAACATACAAATCCAGGACAATTCTTTCCATTAATTTAATATTTATTTCAAGTTTATCTAATGATAACTTCAATGACAGCAAACTGTCAGGTGAAAAAAGAAATCTCAAGATGACAAACTTAGCAGGTAATAAAACAAAAAGCCACAATACCTGAAAAGTAGTGGAGACCCAACACCACTGTAGTATATAACAAACTGTCAGCATTTACAATAAATAAACATCTTACATTCAATCTTGCCCTCTCTCTTTACACTTAAATACATTATGTACATGGATCACCCATGTCGTCTTGTTCTTTCTCAAAAATTGCACATTATCTTACAGAATTCCTTCAACTCACATTCAGACAAATGCATTCAACAACTGGCATTCATCTGCAAATTCATTATTCTTGTCATTTTACACTCAAGTCAAAGTCATTCGTCTTTACATACTCAGGAGAGGCCTCAGTAGCTTCACGAAGCCAGCACAGCTTCAGTGTCTTAAAGAAGTTTAAGGCAAGTAAAGCAAAACCAGAAGCAAAGATCTGAACTGAGAAAACAAAGAAAAAAAAAATCCAACCTGAAACTCTTTAGCAATGTTATAAGTCAGACAAATGCAGGTGATGTACTTTGCATTTCTGGGACCACTTTGGTGGCATTTTTTTTTTTTGGTGCATTTTTATCATTCTGTCTAGAACAGGGCGACAAGAGGATATTTGCAATAGTGTTTAACAGCAGAAGATATTTAGAAGCCCGAGGACTCCTTCTTATAGTTGTTTTATACCAGTTTTTAAGAATCAGACAGGGAGAAATCCATTATTGGTGTGTTTTTGTTTGCTTATAGTCCTTCTGGAAAATGTAAAAAAAAAAAAAAATCAATAACTGAAGTATGAGTTGATAAGGTCAGTTGAAAAAAGGTATACCATGTCAAAAACATCACAAAAATAGCTCCTGGAATGCAATGAACACCACAATTTGACAAAACAGTATTAGGGGAGGGTGGATTATTCCTTTCAAACCTCCTGGCTTATCAGCTTGGACAGTCCAGCTCCTCAGTGCCCATGAACTCTCCTAACATGTGGTCATGTTGACCATAGACAGGCTCTAAATATGGACGTCCCTCCTTGTACAGCATTTGCCTTGACCTTTCTAGGTGCCTCTGCTCAAACTCATCCGGTTCCATACGAGGCGCTTGGATGGTGGCTTTCTGAGCCATGGGGGACAGAGGCACCGGGACAAAGCCATGGTAGACAACCATCGGCGGGGTCAGGACCTCCATAGGGGACGGCTGATGAACAGTGCCCTCCGGTGGCTGGACTGGCAGCTGCACATAGCTTCCTGTTTCAGGATCAAAGAATGTTTTTGTCTTGACTTGTATGGGCATATCTACAAAGAAGTACTGCCCAGAGTCTGGATCCTGCAGGAGTTTGCGTTGGGTCATAGGGAAGGACTGCGTAACAATGGTGTGCTCAATACTAGACTGGCGAGAAAGCTGGCTGGTGAGGCTTGACTGGCGAGACAGAGGTGATGGATGAGGTGCGTCGGTGCTGTATGCATCAATACTGTGACTCCTCCTTAGCGGGTTGTCTCTGCTCGCCTTGTCTCTGGCTCTGCCTCTCTGCTGAAGCTCGTCCATGATGGATTTCTCAATGCGCTGGGTCCTGGGGTCGAGCTTCTCGCTGACTGAAGTATCAGCACTGAGCCTGCGCTCTACTTTATCTCCGAGGTACCTATCAATGCTTTGTGACCGTTGGAAGGGCCGGTCCGACATGGGTCTCTCGGTGATGCTAGCTTTGTACACAGGTACGTTGCTGATGATCCTGTCGCTGCTGTAGTGTCTTTGCTCTGGTTTGTCTCGGGTGTGTCTGTCACTGCTACGTCCCGTCCTTTCTGAGGCCACACTGGATGGTGCTTCTCTGCTTTCAACTGAATCGTGACTCTGCCTCCGAGTCTTGTGGCTCATTTCCATTCGGTTGTCGTGGTGGTTTTCATTGTTGCTTGGTAGTGGCTCATGCTGGTCGCTATTTTTTCTATGGTGGCTTTCATTGTGACGATGACCATCTTCAGTTTTTTCTCTGTGTTTTTTCTCGCTGCTCCTGCCAGTTTTACTACTGCTGCTGCTTCTGTGCTCCGATTTATCACTCTTGTGTCTATCAGTTCTGTGTTTGCTGCTGCTTTGAGAAGACTTGTGCGTTGACTTCTGGGCCTCCTCCTTCTTCATCCTTCTCGTTGCCAACTTAATGGCTTTTAGAACTGCCTTTTCAGATTTGGGTAACACCGCTGGAGGCTTGGGCAGACCTGTTTGACTGTCATTACCACTGCAGGTGGAGCCCGAGCGTTCGCTGGGTAACTTTGTCACTTCACGTTCCACCTGCCCTCCAGCGTTCATTGTCATCTCATCAGCTGTGTCACCTGTGCTGGTTGGTAAGCTCTCCAAGCCTTCAGATGACGGACTAACCCCAGAAAATCTGTCTTCCTCCTGTGGGACAGTGAGGAAACATCCAGCTTGAAGTGTCTTTAGGTTTTCATTTTGGAGATTTGAAGGTGAGAGCAGCAGGGGCGATGACTGGTTTGATAAGATCTCTTTAGGTTTAAAGATTTCTCCTGGAATTAAGGTACTACTACTGGTAGGAGTTTCATTCACCAGTGGGAGCTCTGGAGTTTCTTTTACTTGACGTGCCTCCTCCTCTCCCCTCTCTGAACCACTAAGACTGCCTCTTGGTGACCAGGGTTGCACTGTCTTTTTCAACTTATTACTAAAGGTGTTGTCTTTGACTTTAAACAAGGCAGGGATCCCCAGAGTCGGTGAGAAAGTATTAGAGGGCGACATTGCTGCTGAAACATTTTCATCATGAGGTAAACTTGGATCTGTGGTGGTATCTTCACTTTCTTTGATGACCTCTTTCAGTACTTCGGCCTCTTTTTGCGGAGATTTTATCGGCCGCTTTGCAACCTCTGGCTCACTCTCATGATCACTTAAAGAATAATACTCCGCTTCTGCTCTGTCTGAATCCTGTTGTGTATTTCGTGAAACATTCTGCACTGCTTCGTCAACCTCCTCCACCTCTGCAAGCAAGTTCTCCAGTGAGTGGTAAACATTTGACTCGGACTCAGTATTTCTGTGCAGTGCACTCTCTACGGAGAAGTAGGAAGATTTTGAGGACAAGCTGGCTTGGTCTGGTGGGCTCTGGTTGATGTTTACGCCATTTACCAGCAGCAAGGGGGATATTATGTTTCTGGGGGTTTCACTGAGAGCATCTGCCTCCACATTTACATCCTCATTAGCTCTTTCTGTTTTGTCAGGTTCTTCTTCTGCTGCTAGACTTTTAGTTACATTGTCGTCTGGCGTGATAAGATGGTCTGGTTTTAAAGGGGCCTTTCGCTTTATCTTGTATGTTTCCTTTGCCTTGGCACTGCTAGTTTCAGATGTGGCCTCCCTTGTGGGGCTATTTATCTGCATGTTGCTTGACTTATTTTCATTTTCTTTGAACTCTGGTGATAAGCACAATGTATTTTGAGATGGCTTGTAGCTTGAAGTTGAAATGGATTCATTTGGTACTGCATCGGTTACAGTGAATGACTTTGAATTTGTGACCTTAACCTCTTCCCACCTGTCTTTGTCAGAAGTGATTTCACTCTGATGGGGCAAAGCTTTTTCACTAACTGCTTCGTGTATTTCTGAATCCGTCCTCACCTCATCAATGCCTACATCATAATTTTCATATTTATTAAAGTCATTTTCATCGACTACATCTTTCTCCATGGTGACGCTTCCATCTCTTCTACTTCCTCCTTTTCTGCTCCTCGGGGGAACAGGGGGAGCATTCAACTTTTTGCCTTCAGTTTGATTCATCAGGTACTCTTCGCTATCTTCAGACACCTGTCTGGCTATTTGTCTCAAATTGACATCTGAATTACCACCAGGACTGTCAGTTAATTTATCATTCACATATTTAGCTTTGGTTTTGAGGAGTGTGTTCAGCTCATTGCTAGTCTTGTCCATGCCAGGTAGTGCTATCCAACCACCTGATCTATGGGTCTCCCCGGATCTGGGTTCAGTTTGTGACAAAATCTGCCTGAGGTGATTGTGGTCTCTCAGATCACCAAGTCTCTCTTTTACATCTTTAAGTGCAAAAGTGTTGTCGTTGTGTTTTTCCCTGACTTCTGTCATAGAATCTTTCCTCGCTTTTTGACGTTGCTGCAGTCTTGCTGCATAACTTTCATCACTAACGTTCTCATCAGACACAGGACTTTCATCCTGCTCTGTGGTTTTACTCTTTCTCCTCTGCCTCTCTGAGATGATCTCTTCAAGTGCCATTTTGGCTTTGTCATAATTGTCATTGATAACTGCTTTATTAACTATGACATTACTGTCTAACTTTGCGAAGGCCTCCTGCTTGCTCTGCTCCTTCTCTTTCTTTGAGAACATTTCTCTCTTGGCCGATGTGTTCCCTCTCATCGACAGCATGCCTCTCTTTATATTCCGAAGCTCCCTTGAGATCAAATCATTCTTAGCCTTTGTCTCCTCATCTATGTTAACAACCCCTTGTTTGTTCTTCTCAAGGATACGATCGCCAAGCCTCGCTCTCTCCAGCTCTTTCAAAGCCTGCAAATCATTAATTATATGTTCACTATCTCTTGCTTCTCTTTGTGACATCATCTCATCATCTGTTTCCATTCTTGTGTTCACGTTCGGGTTGCCTTCCTCATAATCCTCGACTTGTTCATCATCTGTCACTGCATATCTCTGATATTTGATATAATTGTTCTGTCTGGCTGAGAATATATGCTTGTGCTTGTCTTGTTTCTGGACAGACTCGTCTTCTTTTGGTGGTAAATCTAGTTTTGTATCACCCGAATCACCGTTAGAGACTTTGTCAACATTAAGTGTTTGTTGTTTGTCAAGAGCAAATTGAATGTCAGATTTAGCAAAATTTCTCTTTGGTACTGGTGGAGGATCTTTCTTGACGTTACTGTTTTTACCAACCAGTGTTGCACCAGTTGCGTCATTTCGATTTTGAGATAAAGCGTTGTTTTCTTGAACTGAACTCTCCCTCTTACTGCTGAACGTTTCTTTCAAAACTTTCTCGTCTATTTCTTTCTGCCTCAGTTCGTCTGTGTCTGACATGGCCTTATTGATGCTATCTGAATGAGTTGCTGATAGAGCTTTATTTTTGGCTGCATTAATCGCTTCCCTTGCTGCTCTGATCACATCCTTTGTGCTCATGGCTTGGCCACCAGCATCTTTTTCCTTTTGCTGCACTCCAAAGTCTTTTTCCTTTGCATCTTTCACTGGCCGTTTTGTTTTCTCTGGTACATTCGGGGGTCTTTTAACTCCTGATGACAGCCCCTCTTTCTCAAGTGTGTGAGGTGAAATTATGGGTGAATAATCTTTGATGACATTTAAAGTATTTGGTGAAAGCTCTGTGTTCGTTGGCAGTGCTTTTGGAGAAAGTCCTTTGTTTAACATGAGCGGTGAAACTTCACTTGTCTCAGTTTGTGGATCTGCGTGAGCCGGAGTGTTGCTGCTCAGAGGGATTTGAAGATATTTCATATCGCCGTCAACAGGGCTTGCTTTCTTGTACAGATTCAGAGAGGGGTAGTTTTGCTTTTTAGCAGGGTTCTTGTTCTTTTTTGAGTGTATATTAGGAGAGATGGTCGTCTCATCTCCAACGCTGCTATTACCTGCAGCCTCCTTTTTGGTTTGCAGTAAATTTGACAACAAATAATCATCTGACAGAGGCCCGTCAGAGTCGTGTTTTGTAACACCAGCAGCTGGAGATCCAATAGGTTCAACAATAGGACTGCAAACTGCCAGCCCATCTCTCAAAATGGCAGGTGTGCTTAAGCCAGATGCATTGCCCTCAGAACCAGCTTGTGAATGTTTCACTTGATCCGATAGTGGAGACTGTGCTCCACCTTCAGGCAACTCTAGAGTTTTGAATTTAGGTGGGCTGTAGCGACTCTTCACCCTTTTCCTGTTGTCTTTGAGGTTGAAGAGGATGCTGGAGGCGAGTGATTTGTAGCTCTCCCGCTTGACTGGAGGTTCAGGGGTCACCTTGGCTTCAGATTGTGGTCTAAGAGGAAGGTCTAGGGCAGAGGGCGAGAAGACTGCTTGGAGGATTTCTGATGTTTCTGTTGGTTGTCTGGAGGGTATGAGGGGAGTCATCAGCTGGCAGATGCTGAATGGAGTAGAGGCCAACGAGCTGACTTCTTCCACTGCTTTCACTTCCACAGATTTAGCTTCCTTTTTGACCAGCAAGAGGCTTTCATCTAATGCTTTTGAAAAATTGTCTTGAGGTTGCATCCCAGCTTGATTGACTGGAATTGCACTTTTTGCCCTGGACCTGTTGCGCCTCCAGGGGGCAGCATGCCCTTCCCCTCCATCTGATGAGCACCTCTTCCCAGCCGGAGTGGCTGAGGGCTTTGGCAGGACCTTTGGTGGAGGAGGGGGAGGGATGGGTTTGGAAGCAGTCGGGGGAGAAGGCTCAACTGCTTCTTTTTGACATGACTGTACCTCCTCTGTATGCAGAGTCTCTTTTCTATGTGCCTCAGTGAGCTCCTTGTAAAATGGCAAGTCATACCATTTGGGGATGTTATCTGTAGGGAGAATAGAAGTGGCTGTGTCCCCCTGGCCAAAGGGGAACCGGTTAAAATCTGTCCATGTTTGAAAAGGACTAAACTCACTGTGGAGGAAAAAGTTTTTGATGTTCAGTTTTCTTAGTTTGACAGTGGATTTCCCATTTTTAGTCTTTGTGGATTTTCCTGAGGGAAGGCCAACATCTTTGCTGGTTTTGTTGGATGAACCATCACCAGACTGATGTCGATGATGGTTCTTGTAATGTCTGTCTGTGAGGCCGCTGTGATATTCTGAGAATTCTGATAGCTCTCTTTGGATGCTGCGAAGTGCAGACTTATCCCACGATTCTCCGTTAGAGTCCGCTGTGCCTCCATTTCTGATTAACATCCCCTCACAGCTTTCCTCTGTGGCGCTTAGTGCCTTGAGGAAGGAGGACATCTGGGATATATTCTTCTGCTGCTGCTGCTTCCATGGCTGGGCGTCGTTTTTGTCACTTTTGTTTTGCCCTTGTTTTTTAGATTCTTTATGATGACTCTTTTTAAGTGGCTCTCCCACCAAAGGTTTGTGGCAGCTGAAAGGTGAGTATCCATACAAGAAATCGTCGTTGTAAACTGCGTCGTCTCCAACGCAGAGACTTCGAAAGGCTCGATCAGTGAGAGTGCTGACCTCCCGATCAGTCTCATCCATGAACATGTCAGTGAAGCCATTGGGGAAGCGATGGTGGAGCATGCTCCCCACCCGATGGCTCATGTGTCGCTTTTCCACACAGCTCATGATGTCAACAAGACAGTGTCTTTCTTCCTTGTCATCACCAGTCTTGCCTCCTTTGTAGCGGCTGCAGCTCCGTAGATCCTTCAGTTCTCTTCCGGCTCAGGCGGACATCAGGGAAGAGGTCGAGTATGTAAATTTCCTAAAAACAAGCAAAGTAAACCAGTGTCAGAGTTGACATGTTCCTCGTGCATTTCAGCGTTTGTTCAAGTCAAAAATTAATTTGATTGTTGTTTACTATAAATGGTTTTGAACTGTGTGGTTGCACTGATGACCTTTATGTATACGACATGTGCCGTGCTGTCACTATGCAGTAGGCAGTAGACAAACACTTCATACCATGCGCTTGGCTATTTTAAGCAGCCTATGATGCCTGAATCTGTGAGCACTAAGCACAGTGTTGGTGGCCATGAGAACAACTTCTGCTCCATTTGCAGGAAAGACACTCGAAAATATGATCATTTGTGCATTTTAAAGGAAATAACAACACTCCACTTGGCACCCTTCACAAACAGTCGTTTTCTTTTTTAAAACAAAAAACGAACAAATTTGTTTAATATGCGTACAATTTGCAAAGCTGCTGAACAACATTCTCACCAGAACGTTTACAGCAGGAAATGCAAGCACATCATCACATTAGTCAGAGAGCCCCTCAACAGCAGCAGCTGCTCTACTGTAGCTTACTTTAGCTATCTGGGTGAGGTCTTAGAATAGCTCATTAACCCATTTATATGGGCTGACCTGGGAGCAAAGCCACCGACAAATAACTCAAGTCTTCAACTATCCACACAACCATCACTGGCCTTATAAGAAGAAGAGATTGACTGAGACAAATTTAAACAAAGATGTTTTATGTATCAATAATACTTTGATTGTAGGCGTATGTGCATTTAAATGGAGTAATTAGAAAGGAATATTAGATCGCGGGTAAGGGATGATTTAACAAACGGTGGGTACGTTTACGAGACACAATTAGAGCAATTCTTATTATCATAGTGAGTCTTTTTTTAAAAAAAATTTATTAGAACCTAACAGGTAAACTAGGTAGAACCGAGTGACTTTACTGTATGTTAAGTCTATTTTACAGAATGCTTTGGCTTTCTAAGACACTTTGGTTGCCAACAGTATTCCAGCTCTCATAACCAGAGATCAGTTAGCAACCACGGTACTTTCCCCAGCATCTGCTTGTGTATTTATACCTAAGGAATGAGGCAGCCCAGTTCACCATACTGTATAAAGGCGTACCCATTGGAGTATGTATTTATATTTTCGTCATGTAATTATCAGAGTCTAAGACAATGCCTGTATGAGTGTGAAATTATTTTATCTTAAGAAAACACAGACATACACAGTGGCTATTCTCTGTCTTTTTCGACACTATTATTTAGTCCAAAACTTTGTAAAACTTAACGTAAAAATCATACATTCTATCTTCTGGTGCTTTCATGCCTTTGTGAACATTCATAAAACCACAGTGCTCCCCTCACCTTGGTGATGAGTCTTTCATGCTGAGTGCAAGGATCCAACACCGACTCCGGTATCAAACACAATCCTTCATGTCCAACAATCCAGTGCGGTACCACCTGCTGAGAATATATTCTAGTTAGCGGGTATAAATCACGTTAAGAAAAACTTTTTTTTCTATCAAAGTCCAAGAAACAAAGAAAACTCACCAAAGTGAGTCAAGCCCTCAGATCCATGTTCAAATGCACTGGTGTGGCCGGGCTCCTGACAGCGAGCTCAAAAGATACCAAAATAGACGCACAAGTCGGTGTGGCCAAACTGAGCAGCAGCACAGGACCCGGCGAGCTAGCTCACATTGGAATAACCAGCAGGTGTCGAGTGGCAGGGCAAGACAGAGCAGCAGGATGAAATGGACACTGTCATTGGTTATTTTTGTAACTAAGCAGCGACGGCTGATAGGCTCCCACATGGACCTTCTCTTTACTGTTTGGCACCTTTGAAAACATGACAGGGGCCTTCGTGCCACTGGGGGAAAAAAGGCATTGATCAGCTAAGCTCTGGACAACAGAGAGGGGGTGAGGAGCTCTTACTTGTTACACCACTGGGTAACATTTAGCAGCTGACTCATTTTGCCCCTGTCACCCAGAGAAACAGGCTTTCTGATATACCTCATTGCATCATACAACTCCAAATAAGAGTCCCTGGAGTGGAGACTGGTGGCAGGAGGCAGACGTCTGCTGACTGATATGACCACGATGGGGCCGGGCCAACTCTTGTTGTTCAACCTCTGTTTACAAGGAGTCCGATTTTTTTTTACGACTGATGCAGCTGTTGTTGCTGTGAGATTATGCCGAAATGGAGGGAGGGCATTTTGTTGACTTGTTACCCTTTGTGAACCAGAGGATGTCAGTGGATGAGGTCGCATTTAAAGTTTGACCCGGCGCGTTCCTGTGCAAGTGTTTCAGAAATACTGTGGCTCAACTTCGTACAGCTCTCCACCTGTATATTATCAGTAAATGTTAAGACGTGCTGCTATTCTGCTGTCTTTCTATATCGATTTTGCTAGAAAAGATTTTTTTAAAAGTCTATCCACCAGCGGCATTACAATCATCTGTTTTAACAGCGTATCAGCCAGAAAAAGAGTTGTGAGAGTAACCACGGTTTCTGTGTGAGCTCCTCTCTTCCTGTGGCCTCAGCATCCACAGTGCCGTCCTCCGTCAAGGTGCCATTTTTAAGCCAGTCTATTTTTGTCATGCTTTTCATAAGGTAGCAGCCTGCCTCTCTGCTGACTGCACCTTTCACACTAATCATTCAAACCTTGCACATGTTGGTTGACTAGCTTCACACTTTATGCAGGAATGGTCGTCACATCGGAGGCATCTGTACTGAACACACAAATACTGTAGACTTGCACAACGTCTCAGTCAGAGTGCATACGTCAGATTAAAAAGTCAGGACATGTAGTGGATATAAACGCTAAAGCAATGTGATGATTGCACCTGCAGATCTTGTATAATGTGGTGTGTTCATTTTAATAGTAGGAAGTGTCTGCATTTGTGTGAGGAGATAGACTGACTTGTTTGGGGATATCATAATGTCATGTTGGTAAAAATTTTGCACCTAAGAGCGTTTCCCGATTAACAGTGTGCACTTATGTCAAGCCCAGAACAGTCCGTACATGGAGCTTGTTCCCCTTTAACACCAAACCTTTCTCTGTTTGCATCCAAGCCTCCAAGAGCAAAATAGAGTCAGTGACAGCTACTCAGAGTTAAACCTGTGTCTTCTAGCCAAAAAGCTAATACATGCTAGAATGAATGGAAATGTAAAACGATATCTAAGCATTGCAAACATATTTTTATTTGTGTACAGTGGGCAGTAACGATTAATATCCTGGTAGAAGTCTACTATTTTTGGAATTGGATGGGTGACATTTTGACTTGATGTGTTAATGGAGAGAAGTTGTGCCGGCCCGCTGATTGGAAGCTCGGTGCAGGTGGCTCGCCTCTACCGAAAGTTCTTTTATGTATGTGCTGTGTCTTCTTAGGGAGCAGGCTAGGAACTGAAAAGTCTATTTATAATGACCAGAGTTTGTCCAAAGTTTGGAAGGCTTCAATGTGGGGACTTTGCTGCTAACCAGTATGGGTCGATACATGTGCGGGCATAAACGGTTTACTGTACGCAAGATCTGTCTGGAGACAAACGCTATGAGTGCACCAAGTTCACTGCTATTTTCAGCACACAGAACACTGGATGAAGCTAAAATAAAAGCCTCCTAATTCATAATGAACTGGAGCTGCGTATTGAAAATTGCATCGTTATAGCATCACTTCACGAAGCTAGTGCTGTCACAATCTCCATGTAGTGCGGACTTTACCAAAATTCCACAAAAGATCTGCTAAAGAAAAAGTAAATTATTGTAACTACTGTTAACTTAACTACTGTTATGCATTAGGAGCTGAGCATATCAAGACAAACAGCAGCTAACTTGCCAGTGCCATTAAAAAAGACGATGGTGGCAACAACAGGACATAATCAAAAGAGTGCTCATCAAACCCCACATGGCAGGAAGTCATTCAGACATGGAAACGTTGTGTGGAAGTTTAAGTCAACATAAGTCACAACCTGCCTGTATGACTTCTCAACTAAGTTACATTTTCCACCTTAGCCAGGCTGAATAACGTTTAGCAATCTTTCCCAAATGGGGATGAACAGAAATTCCCTCACTGTAGCAGCCAAGTTGATTTAAGACAAGTAAGTGTTTTTTTTTAATGCACAAAACCAAAGAGGAACCTTTAGAGAACTGCAGATCAGTCCCAGAACGATAGTCTGGGACAAATTCTGAATTTAGGCAAGCAAGTAAGGGGACGCAGTGGTTCTGCTGTCAAATGGAAAAGCAGGATATGTAGCTCTGAAATTTACAAACAGATGTTTGTGAGTGGACTGTGTATCAGAATTCAGACAGAAATATAAGCCGTATATTCAGCTGTATTTTGGCAGAAACGTGACTGCTATGGCCAAGTAATAATATAAAGAAGTTTGCAATGTGCATTATACTTGCAAGAAAACAATGTTTTTAACTGAAAAAAAATGTGCATGCAAGAGAGGTAAATACATTTAGCAACCCAACAGACACTTTCCATTGGATGGGCTTATTTCCCATGACCCCATGTGAACAGGGGAGGAACAGGTTAAAGTGATACTAAGAGAACGACAAAAAGTTGGAGAGCAGACAACTAAGGATGGATTCCAGCCCACCCAGAGTCAGAGCTTCAGCTTTTGTTTGTGCCATTATGACTGACACCCACATGTGTTCTGGCTGGCTGCTGAAGTCACAGGGAGGCAGCGAGCAGACCGGCTCACGCTCCTTCATGCCCGCTGAACTGGGGCAGGAAGGCAGGCAGAGGGGGTAACTGGCCTTCAGGGTTGTCAGGATAGTAAAACCAGGTATGGGAGCTGTTGGACAGCTGAGACTGATCATACACGGAAGAAGGGCAGCGAGGGTAAAAGGCAACAAGGAAGACTGGTAGCATTAGCAGCTACACCTGTGTTTTTATTATAGAAGGAAGTCAGGTTATGGAGGTCACTCATGTGGATGTCATCCTGTAATATTATAAATACACACTGGGCCTATGATGATACACGTTGAACTAAATGCTCTGTTATGATGGTGAGAGAACTCTACAGTTCACAAGGCAGCAAAAACACCCAACAACGGTGGGTTGTTTCCTGTGCATTGTGAAATGAAAGCGTAAAGTAGGTCACCGTGGGCACAAAACTGTGCAAATGAGCACATCTGAAAGACTAACAGAGATGGAACTTGCTTTGATCTGCTGAGAAGAATCTATTTTTCTATTCGCAGACGAGACTGCAGCTCCAACTTAATATAACTTTATCACTCACACAGTCGTTATTTGCCTTGTGCGATGTGAGCGATGACAGGACAGATAGCTCTGAGGCTGATACGGCAGGTGGCTGACCAATCAGGAGAGAGCTTTAAGATGCTGGAAATACAATTACACTATCAACACATGAAAGAAAATCAGCTGCCAAACCTAATGTCGACCTCGTGGCACACTCAAAGCATCTCACTCCTGGGGTGGCTTCGGTCTAGTTTGAGCGGAGACCTTGACCTACACTTTCCTGTAATAAATCTGAGGATCATCATGCCAGCTGTGCCAACGTCTGGCCCACAAAGCTTTCCATACAAACAAGATCAGTATCTGGCATCCTATAATGCCTGTCAACAAGGATCAGTGCCAACCGCATAATACTGCTCATCTGTAAATAGACTGTGACATAAATTTAAAATTCATGTTACCAACAGGAGACACAAGTCATAGAAAATATCACAAAAGTTTGTGAAGTCACACATGTAAGAGCAAAAAACAGCACTTCTCTTACAGGTGGCTGAAACAACAAAGTGAAAGCACTCCTTAAGTACAAATTACTGCTGTAATTATTATTACTCGTTTATTGTACCAACAACAAATATTAAAAGGATAATCATATTTTTGCTCAACTTCTAAACACATGAATAAATGTGAAGGGTCTTTCTTGTAACTCACAGCTCCTGTGACATACAAGACAAGTCACGTAATCTTTTAATCAGCATAATTATGAAACCCACAAGCAGGAAGCTGCTTTTCTTTAAAGACTGAAAATGCTGTGAGACGTCTGTTAGAGTCCCAGAAACATCAAGAGAGATGAGAGCATCTCAGACGTGTAGCTTCTTGTCAGCTGTCATCAGGGCTGTCTTCATCACTGGTGAGTGTAATGGATGTCTGTATGTTGTAGTAAATAGTGCATTATGTTTCTCAGCATTATATGAAAAAATGCACATGTATGGTGATGAGCTGGACAGGATGAGGACAGCATCCTGTGTAGTGTCTGAGGCAAGCATTTGAGCTTTTGACTATTAGTGGTGACCATGTTGAAGACAATCTTTGGATATTGTAACTGTTAATCATGTTAAAAACATAGCAAATCTTGCATTTTTTTTGTCTGTTTGACCGTATTAAAAGCTGTTTTTCCATCATTTTTTTTAGAATTTATGTAAAAAAAACATCAACATTTAATAAAATAACTACAAATAGGAACCTAAAAGCAAACATTACTAACTAAGCTGGTTATCAGTAAAGCCACAGACAGTCAAGCTAAAACACATTAGCTAAAGCTAAAGCTACAACTAAAATTACTTGATGTTTACCCTACTGCTGCAGTAAAAAAAAAAAATTAAAAAGCCATTTTAATAAAATCAAAATTTAAAAAATTCTAATTAATTCTTTATCTCCACATACCTAATTATCACAGTTGCTAAAATCAATCATGACGCTATGAAGAACTTCTACTAAACCTAACTAGCTTAATTTAACTGCCATCTTAGCTTTTGACTGGTTAAGTTAACCTTAAATAACATTTATAATGCAAATTATACCAGTAATTATTAGGTGACGCATATTAATCAGAGAATGACAGACGGACACTCACAAATAGTGATATATTTAAATTTAATTCATGTCAATAAAACAAAAAAAAGTTTAGTTTCTTTAACAAACAAACTACATAAAGTTGAAAGAGCAAAATTTGTTTTAAGATTGCTTCCCCCCCCCTACCTAACACTCATTAGAAATGATCCAGAGCTGATTCATTTTACAGTTTTGGGCAGTAGCATCACTACAAGTAGTGGCATTACTAGTTGAAATACCTTTCTCAGTATACAGTGTTGGCAACAGTCCTGTTTTTTGAACCAAATAGCTTTTTTCATTAGTGAAACTCTTTATTGATCAAGTAGAGCAGTGACATTCACACAAGCTGCGTTTTCCTGAGTATTTCTGAAGTGACATGCACTGCGCAGTGAAATAAACTAAGGATGAATTGGAGCGGCGATGCCACCACCATGTACAGACGTATACTGTATACGTAGCGAACATACACCAAGTACCAGTCTCTAGTGCAGTCTATACATGGCAAACCACTTAACCAGCTAGACTGGAGATCTGCTGCAGATATCGGTATTTCATTTCATTCATGTCTTCCTTATCAAAAGTATGGTTCAGAGAACCGCAATGTCTTTCTTCATAAGACAAATAACATCACCTTTACCACTGATGTGTATGGAGTTTTTCCATCATTATGACTTCACTGGGAAGACTATTCCTAAATACTTTTTAGATATCTTACATTAGGTTTCATCTAGTCAGAATGACAGACTACAAATCCACCTAGTAGTCAACATGTAACCACTGATATCTTGAATTTGAACGTCTACCAGGCGAAGTGACATTGCAGATTTTTGTAGTCACATCAGAAGCTACAGTTAGTGGGTGGTGGAACTTTTCAAACATACCTTGGCACTGCAAGCGTAACCACATACGACGGCCTGTTTTACAGTCTGCCTCGGCCTGAGGCTGACGTTCTTGCAGATTTCAACCGCAAAGTCTCAAATGAACAAAGCTCTCATTCTGCTGTTTGCTCATATTCTCAGCCTATGTCAAAGCTTTTTCTATTGATCTTATTCACCACAGCAGCTGCCATTACATCTGCTAATGCAGGTCAAAGTCTTTGCTGGGTCAATATCAAACGGGAAGCCTCGTATGAGCAGCGTCACTCACAGGAAATCAGACTAACCATAATGACGTATGCAATATCTGCAATTATTATTTTGACTGGTCAAAACTGCTTTACAGATATCTCTAACTGTCTGTACGACGAGTAAGAATGACGTCCATATCTAAAGTATAAATTCGGAGCAGCCACAATGTAATGAAGAAAGGAATGACCACCTTTCTGTTTCTTTAGGAGGGGTTATTCTAATTGAACTATGCATGCACAGAATTACACATATTTGTCGTGCCTCCAGGGTCACTTTGCAAGGTTTTTACAATATTTTTGCAGTACTGGTTTTTATACTTTGATTTGTCCTGTAAGTCAGAGCCTCAGTGAGCGGTCAGCCTGTCCAAGCTCTGCTGGCTGCCCATGACACATTATGTAAGAGGTCACACTGTGGTCACTGGAAACTTTATCTGTCTCACTCTTCCAGCACTCAAGAAGTGTTAAGCTGAAATTACCATAGACCGACACATAGCACATTGATCTTGTCCAGACTAGTCGCAGGTTCGACCCCAGCAACAGCCAGCGCTGCAGGGATCGAACTCCCGTTTGAGTCCATCCTAACCTGCTGCGTTTTAGTTCCTATTTATCGACTTGCTTACAGTAACAACTGGGCGGGTCACAGAGGAATGTGACGAGTGGGTTCAAATTGTAAGATAGCCACTTGCTGAGCGTGTATGCTCTGTTTCAGCAACACCCTGCTACAGTCATACCTCACCTCCCACTTATTTTGGCCTCTGAAGGAGCAGCTGGGGACTGACTGCCTGGCTCAAAGGTGTCATAAATTTGGATTTTATCTTCCTATATCCTACCTTTCTATAGCCCTGCATGCTTTGAGCTTCGAATATATAAATACACCTGTAAGAACTGACCTTGGGGCATGGCTTATCAAAAACCCCAGGATTTTAATAACTGGCATTTTAAATGCCAAAAAGTTGTATGACAATGTTTATCTAAGTCTGATTATGATGATGTGGATATCAGCTTGTGTGCAAGACGACACATGGACTAAGGATCCCCTAAAACACATTAAAGTTTCTTTCTAAGTCTGGACTTTGGCATTTCATGACCTTAAATCAACAACAGATACAGTTAGGTCAAAAATGTCAAGGTTTGCCTTTGTTTTAAAGTAGTTATGAACAATATTAAAATGTCTAGCCGATACCAATATGAAGATTTCTGATATCGCCAATAACTGATACTACCGATGTCTATATTTAATTTTTGTTCACACCGAAAAATGAGTGCTAGTAAGCACTGTGAGAACGTGAAAACTAGTCAAAAGTAGCCCATACCAAATTAAACCACATAGTCTTCTTTACTACGCAACAAAAGTAAAACATATTTAAACATATTTTAACACATTTAATGTTCAAGTCCAGGACCATTTAAGTAAAAAATATCTGTGAAATAGCTGCAATATCAAATGTAGAAATGAAGGCGGTTTTTCACATTAGCTAAATTTGTTCATTGGACTGATACCAATGTATCGGAAATAACACTAATATCGGCCGATACCGATGTGGTCGCCGATATATCGTGCATCCCTATTTTAAAACCTAAATAAATGACTTAGTTTGACAGTCTGATCACTGAGATGTTCAGGGCCAGATGTCTCTTAATGATACCAGTAATAACATTATAAGTGGTAGATTCAATGACAAAACTACCAAACTAGACAAGAATTAGTGCATCATTATAAACCTACGACTGTATATATGTGGGGTGTATAATATAGGATCCCACACAGTCACTGCACTGGTTACTGTAAACTACTGTATAACTGTTAAAAGTGTGGCTCTCACACTCCTCCAACAGACCTAAACAGTAGGCACATGTCCAGCTGTGTCTAAAAGAGGCCTGTAAAGTGTATGTGTTTACCTATATATGTGTGTGCAGCCTGGGAACCAGCGGAATCTCAGAGCTCATGTTTCATTCGCTCAGGCGGAAAGCACCTAACCCGCCTCCCACTCCAACCGTTTCAACGTACTGGGCCAGTCACTACAGTTTGTCTAATATGGGGCAGGTTTCATACAATGATGCTACAGAGGGGCACCGTTGAGATACTTTTGTACTTTAGTGCTATGTGACACATTTTTGCTATCAAGTCTATTTGAAGGCATCCAAAGACACTTTCTACACCGGCTGGGATCACCCACTGGAAATCAAAAATGAACTATATTCCAGACTAATTTGTCAGGCTAAAATGTGCATGTGAGCGAATTAAAGTGTGTTTAATCTGTGTGTATGTGCATGCTAGTGCTGCATGTTACCTGAAGCAGGAGCATATTAAAGGATAACATGGAGCTATGACTTCAACAAAGTACCCTTCATTTTGCAACAGATTCTTCTGATGTTTTTGCATTGAACCGTGCAGACCACTGACACGTCGCCTTATCTGATGGAAGCAGCAGTACTGTAGTGTCACCTCTTTCCTGTTTACCTCAACAACCTGCTTTTCTAACTTGCAGATAATTAACTGTGTTTCAGAGTGTTTGCTGATGTGCGTGAGGGGAGATGGAGCAGATTCTGAAGGAACATTAGGTAGGTCAACAAACTGAATATACGATGCTGATTTTGAGATACATTAGAGACATGTGAACAAACACCACATTGTCCCTGTTATACCACGTTAGAATGAAGCTCCAACTAAAACATTCATTCAGCAACAACACTTAAGTGATTCTTATTGAATTCTGTGTAAATTTTAGCACCAAACATTCAAGGATCCAAGTCACCTACATGACCAAAAGACATTTAATTCCTTATCGATCGAATAACACAGATGGGTTTTTAGGGCATCTTAATCAACTCGATAGGTGACAAATCCAAGGAGTGTTTATGTTGACCACCACAAAACCACCACAGAGGCTGAAAAGATGTTTAGACAACATGAAATAATTAGCAGGAGAGAAAACTAAGTTTCCTCTCGTTGTTTCTTCTTTTTGCAAAGTAATGTGTTTGATGAATATCTGATGGTTTTGTGTATTTGATATAAAGCCAATAGCATTCTGAGTTCATCCATGACAACATGCGTCATCTCAGGCTGGATGACGCCACTTCATATTTCACATGAATAATGGAGATCATTGGCTCAATGCAGTGCAAAAAAGGAAAACAAAAATACTTATGTCAACAGTGAACAAGTAATTCAGTCAAAAATGCTGTGGAATCTTCCCTTCTCCTCTCACACCAGGAGAACTTTCTAACACAACTTTTCACTCTCACTGTAATTTCAACATTAGTTTTTAAACGAAATTGTAGCTACAACTGGCGAATACAATCACCTAAGCAGACAAGTTGCCCGAAAAAGCAGTCCAGCAAAACACCATCATACATTTCACATCAACAAAATGTCATTAAATGTTTTAAAAGGACACATAATTTCTTCATTTTTATGGATGAATTCTGTTAAATCATTAGTGTCAGAAACTAAGGACTAATATTGAAAACATTATCCTTCAACTCTTTTACAAAAAACAACTTGTGAAACAAAATGTAAAAGGTTATTTTTTTTCCGAGTGCTGCACCACAAACATTTCCGTTATCACAAGTATTCAGAGTGACTCAGACAAGACAAGAAGTGAAAAAAACAGGAAAAGACAGTTTTTTACATGAAAATGATGTAATAAGCAGCACCACAAAGAACAACAACGATGTGTTAATAAGGCAGGAATGAGGACTGAAAGCTGTAATTGTTCAGTCTGATTTACTCAGTGCTATTGTAATGTGAGTAAGTCCTGTTCATAACACCATGATCTAATCATGTTCTTGATAGGCTTGATTTTGACCTTTTGAACCATTGATATAAACCCATACCAGAATCGGGTCCATTTTCTATGGCTGGATAACTGAATCATTGATGAGAGTCTCAAAAATGTGGATTCAGAACAAAGCCAAAGAAGGAACAAGTCCAGGCACGTCAAAGGATGGAGGTTTAAGAATCATGTGTGGCTGAATACCTCCAATATTACAACTTACCAGTGGGTGGCGTCGAGTAGTTTTACAGTGTCTGAGCAGAGTCGTACGTGAGCTGGTGTGCTGAGCTGCAGTAAGTGGCTGATGGTTGGAGAAACAGGGACTACGCAGCACATCCTAAACAAAGAAACAGTGCAGAGTTATCTTAATGCATGAGGTGATCATTTGTCTGTAACTTTTAAACACATAGACAAATTTTTAGGGGTTTATTCCAAGACCAGACAGGGACTTGAATTTGACATGACAGTGATAGCTCACGTTGACCAGCAGTAACCCCCTTCTCTCAAAGATTCCCAGACGTTCAGGATTCATATTGCAAACACCGATGGCGCAATTTAATTAGCGGAAAGAAGCATGAGACCATGACTGAGACGTGAATCTTGCTCAGAGTAAACAAGTTGTGAAATCACCTGCCTTCATCTCTCATGCACACACACACACATACAACCGTGCTGTTGGAGGGTTGAACATGAGCTGGCATTTCCCAAACTGATGTCCTGTCCTGTCGCAGGTGTTGCATTGCATCATGTTTGTTATCAGTCGCTGGTTGTTTTCCTTCCAGAAATTAAGTACGTTCTGATCGGATGTGGGATCGGCCTGCTCTTAGTCGGCGGATTCATTCTAATGAAGGTCTGCAACGTCAGGAGGCAAGCGGAGGCAACGGAATAGGGGAGATGATGGAGTGAGTTCCTATTACAGCCACGTACTATCTAAACTACTTAGAATACATTTTTTAAATCACTCTTTTATGCGATATTGGTTTATTTCCCTACAGGTAACAGCATGACAAAAACCCAACAATGAAGATGGACTCTAAATATTCTGCACTGACTGAAGGAAACGCGTTTCTCTCCACAGCTATAGGTTCTCATAACCTTTATTTACTCTCAACAGTAGCCTCATTTGATCGCTTCGAGCCGTCTCAGCCAATCAGAGTGTCCCGTGACGGCGGTGTCCAGTGACTTGCGATGTTAAAGGTCAGGCAGAGTGATTTGCACGATGATGCGAACCCTGCAAAAGAGGAACGTGGGTGAAAGGTGAACCAGGCGGCCCGTTGTCTGCTCACGTTTTGTCGCACAGACCTCAGAATAGAACCTTTATATATCTTTTTTACCTCCTCATAGCACGCATCATTATAGTGTTCACAGACGGAGCTGTAAAAATGCATTTTTATCTGACTGTGGTGAGTTGTCTTGTTTGTAAAGCTTAATAAACGAGGTTAAGGCCATGTAGGAGCCTGAATATGTGGGTGTCTTTGTGTTTTCTGTCACTCTTTGGTCAGAAAAACAAAATGCTCTACTGACACACATACTGCACAAAGCACAGCTCAGCAGAAAGCTGAACAACTGATGCCTGATCCACAAGAGGGCAACATTTACCTCCGACAAACCTTAAGTGTTCTCAGCACCAGACAAGCCTCACAAACTATTTTTACACTTTGATTGCATGTAGCTACAGTTGTCAGATTTCAATGAAAAATGACTGATGGAACAGTTACTTAGAATTGGATAATGACAGCATCACCCAGTTTGGTACCAAACTGCATCCCTTTTGCCTGTATAATATAAACTAGAGCTAGCTTTTGTTGCTTTTGACTCCGTTTCCTGCTTTTTGGGCTACAAAAATTCCGAGTTACAACTCTAAACATATCAGACAGTGTTGTGCTTCTTCACACTAAGTACACGATGGATCCAAGCAGTACAAGAGAAGGTTAACAGCTTTAGGCTTGTTCATAATGCACCTTAAAACTACAAAGTACATAGAAGAGTGCAAATCTGAACCATCGTTACATTGCAATAACATGTAATGGTCTTCATTTATGAGGTGACCTGTCCAGCAGCATCTTAGATTGAAGATGTTCCCGTCCACTAACTTTTCTTTTAGTTGAATCCTTTCTGTTGCTAACTTTTCTGACTAAAACACAATTCACTCCCAAAAAAACTCATCTTAACTAGAATTAACATCAAGTTCTAGTTTAGACCCATGTCGGTCCAGACTCATAAGATATATGAAGTGACAGAATTTAATTGGGGGGCACTACCAACTCAGATTATTACTAAATGTGAAATATGATCACAGTCTCTCCTTCTGCTCCTGAGTTATGGCAATGGATAACAGCCAGAACAGTCATTTTTCAGAGCATTATAATGTCACTTTAAAGTTGAACCTTTTGGATATGAAATATCATCCATACATCATTTTTATCCTGACATTTGTGTTAAATTTTGTCATTACCAGTGTATTAGTTCTTGAGTTACAGCCAAAAATGTGTTCAAGGTGAAGCTGCAGCAGCCAGCTCAGTGCTCAGGCAGCATTCTGGCACATTTCCACCTCTATAACATACGATCTATATCATCCAAATTAGGAGTCTGAGTGCTTTGCCAAGTTTGTGAGACTCCCTTTTCCAGGCCAGAGACGGATGAAGAAGAACCAATAAAAAGCCCCTCTAATATCCTGGTAGTCCTGCACGCAAACATGGAATAATAACTAGCAGATGTGGTCATTGTTGAAGTCTTACTGTTTACTACACAGTCGCTGAACTGCATCTGCACTTTCCTCCAGATGAAAACTGTAGAGAAATGTGCACCACTGTGAGAACATGGCCGATTTGAGCTCCTCCATCACCTACTTTATCATCAGTGAACAGAACAGGATGATTTATTGAGATGTCGAAGCCACATTAACTCTCTGTTTGTATGCTTGTTTAGCTTAAGTTGGCGAGCAAGAAATTATTAAATCTGCAACAATCAATGTGTTTATATCAACACTAAATCAAGTCACCATGGTAACTAAAAGGTCATTTGTGGGGATGAATTAGAATCTAACTCTTCAGTTTCTATCAGCTTTTCAAGGCCTTGTAGCATCTTTGAGCTCCTTGTTTTGGTTTTAGGGCCCCTAAACTTGACTGTTTTGGTTCAGACTCATTGTTCTCATCGAGGTCATGTGACATCCAGCCACGGTGAACAGTTCTGAAAGAAATAAACAAACATCTCTGACAAGCTTAGTGTATTTCTGCTGAGCAGCAAACAGCCGCAGTTCATACCTAACTGGTCATCTTGGATTAAAAAAAAATTAGCAGCTAAAGAGACAATTATGTCCCTTAATCGCTTAAGACTGGAGCTCTTGTTTGATATGCATGCAATAAAAAATACAAAATATAAAGAAAATAAAAATCTATTTTAAAAAATGTGTATTTTTGAAATAAATAAAAAAAACAAGATAAGTAAATAAATAAATACAAATAATAAAATAATGCTAATAATAAAATATTAAACATTAAAAAAAAAAAGAAAAAAAAGAAGTATAAATAATATGATAGTATAACTCAAAATGTGATGTCCATGCATGTGGACGCCAGTTCTTAAGAGGTTAAGAGGCGATAAAGACTAAAATTAGAGTTAAAGGAGAGGGAAAATTGGGCTTTTAAAGTGTGCTTGGTGTATAAATAGGCAGAAATTTGCCAACACATTTAACATAACAACTTCTTTGTGTTTTCAGTTTGTACTGTTGACAAAAAGTAAATTACTACTACTTTACTATAACATTAATCTGCACTAACAAACCCACACAAAACTAGGAGCAACTCTACAGTTCCTCTCAGTTACATTTAGCCTTTTAGCCACTTTGAGCTCATTGTTTGTGATAATAAAGAACAGTAAGCAACAGACTGGTGAAGAAAATATGACTGTATAGCATGTTGCTCAGGCATCTTTCTTAGAAGTTGGTGGCAGGACTTAACGATTAATTTAAAAAATCTATTGCAAATGGATAACGGAGAGGGGCTGAAGGTAAAATGTTTCCCAACATGCCGTTCTAAATAAAGCACTGTGGTGCTACAAAGATGGCTGGCGAATAAATTATAACGGGAGATGCTCGCTTGGTGCAGACTGCAGCAAAAATCGCATTGTTTTGTGGCATTTGTTGTTTTTTGGTAGAAAAGAAATCCCAAGTAGCATTTCCACTACAATGGTGGCTCATATCACAATCAAAGCATCTGTAAGAAATAACAGCAGTATGTTGTTTGTCTGTTTTGCCAGAGTTGGTGGAGACCAAAACAGAGGAAAAAGGAGTGAATAATGTGCTAAATATTCCAGGTTGTTGTTTGCCTGATCATTTCAACTTCATGTTAGATATTTTGTTTAGCTTGTTGTAGTTTGTATTTCACTAAAAAACAGTTTACTTTTTATTTCCGATGTACATACTTAAGGAAAGGAGCTGGTAATTATTAAAAACAGCTAAAAAGCTCGAGCGATGATTTCTGCACAGCCCTATTCTGGTGAATCCCACAACATATTTTGCACTTTATCCTGATAGTGACAGAGCTTCGGCAAAGTGGGGGGTTCTTAGTCAAGGAGGGGGGACATCCATGTTTGTCAAACTGTCGCCAGACTGGGAGCACTTAAGAGGCCCCCGCAGACAGCCTCCTTTATCTGTAAATCAAAAGTGTCCCAGATCTCCACAGCGCTGCTGCTCTGAGGTTTGATAAAAGCCAGAAAAGTGTCCCGAAAAACCCCGAGCAGACAGACGGCTGCACAAAGATTCACTGTGGGATCTTGTTACTCGACACGAGAGACGATGGGAGCTGGATGCAGACGAACGCAGACACAATATCGGCCGTGGGGTTTGTTTTTTCTTAATTTCGAAAGCAAAGCAAAATACTTGAGTATATAACCCTAATTGCAGAATGAATCTACAGAAGATGTGAGACTCCCACACACAAACAAACTGCAGCCCCTTCCCCCCCGTGTCAACATGTGTTCCAAAATAAAAGCCCTGGCTGAGGTCTGCGCCCGCTGTCCTCCACAGCTGGAAGTGTGATTTGCTCGGCGTCAATCTCAACAACACACTCCTCCCCGCCCTCCATCCTGCACAGGAAATTACATTTCCCACTCCCTCCCCAGCAGCAGAGGTGGCGCGTGCATGAGTGTGTGTGTGTGTGTGTGTCCTCGCACTCGGTCACCTGTCTGTTTCTGCTTGTTCTGCGTGCACGTGCATGTGTTTGTGTGTGTGTGCGTGCACGTGCATGTGTTCGTGTGTGTGTGTGCGTGCACGTGAGACCATCGAACGTGCTTTCACTGTGTGTGACAGGAGGGGGGAGGGGCAGAGGGAGGTTCTGAGTGGAAACAGAGCGTCCAATGTTTCATATTACACTCCTCAGCTGGGGGAAAAAAAGAGAAGAAGAAGAAGAAGAAGAGGAGGAGGAGGAAACCTGGGGCTTCTTTTCTTCAGAGGCATTTAACTGGGAGTTTATGGAGGCAGCAGCCGCTGGAAAATGAAGATCTCCTCTGTGGTCTTCGCTCTGCTGACCCGAGCTCTGTTTGGAGGTAGGAAAAAGTTTATTTTGCTTCAGGCCAACGTGGATGTGGTGGAGGCAAAATGTTTTCCACTGTTTTTTTTTAGATGAACTTTGCAGAAAACATCTAAGAATTAGAGGAGATGTTGAAGAGATGGGTGAAGATGTGGAGAAAAACATTTTAGGTTAATGAGGAACCTTTTTTTTTTATTTCAGTCTGCTAAAATGAAGTTTGGTGAGATTGCAGGGTGGCCTAGCAAATAAAATACCAACTTTATCAAAGTGACATATGCTTGCACAGATGAGAGAGAACTCCAAAGTGAAAATTGGTGGCTTTCCTCAGCTTTGAGTTTCACCTCCTCATTAATCTTTAGTGATTTCAGTGATCTTCTGTCATGCAGCAACACTTTTCAGCCTCAGAACTATATTTGCCTCATTTTGTTCTGTCACTCAGGACCAAATAAAAGACAAAGCTGTGAAAGAGGCAGTGATCTTAATTACGTGCTGTGCTCAGAGCATTAGATTTGTGTGATAGTAAAAGGCTTGTGTGTCATGGAAAGTGTGGATGATCAGGGTTGCCTAAGGTTGGAAAAGCAGATGTGTGATATATTGTCATGCAACGCATGCAGCAATAAGGTTTGTTCCTCAAAATTCATCCCACGTATGGTGACACAAACTGCCAAAAACAACACGGCTGTCAGAGGGAGGACGACTGTTGAGCAACAGTAAATCTGCTCGTGGGCTGTATGGCTTTCAGATAGGACCTGTAGCTCTTCATTTCTGTCTTCGTGCCTTTGTTATCAAGAGACAAGTTCAAGTTAGTGAGCCGTGTATTATCGGTTTCTGTTGCTAAATACCATCTGTAAATTATTAGATTGTGTTGAGTGTAGTTGTACAATTTGGGGTCACAAGTGGAATGAAAATGGCTTCAATTCCTTTTGTTTCTGTGCATCATCAGAACTCTGCTCTCATCTGGGCGAAAACCTGACTGAAATCTCTCCCTTATGTTCCTCTTAACTGTTCAAAAAAAAAACAAAAAAACTTTCCTCACACTTTAAAACACAACTGATTCCCAAAGTGAATCTGTGGCAGGACAACATGACTTCACTGTAGTTTTACTTTATTTGGAGCACCTCTAGGAGCTCTCATTCATGTTGGCTGAAAGAAACAGTTGCACTCATCAGTTTCTGAGCCTTGATAAAGTGTAGCTGAAAAAAGTACGAATGATGAAAATAATACATATTTTGAACATCTGCAGTTCAAAGGCAACTGATGGAAGCTACAGTAAAGCACACTGCAGCTACTGCAGCTACTGAAAGTACCTGTAACTGTTAGTCCTTGGACCTAGTTCCTTTAGACCGTTGGTTATCCAGCCCCCCCGTGACCCTAGTGAGGATTAAGCGGTGTAAAGATAATTGATGGATAATGGATGGATGGATGAGAAAGCTGCAGCTGTTTTTACATTTTTGTGCACAACACAATAAACTGTTCCACTCTTGTCCAGTAGGTGGCGGTAATGCAGAACACTGTAAAACCATATAAAGTAAGGGACAGGCAACACTATAGCAACAGTAGAGGCAAGTTAATGTAAGCACATGGATTTTACAAGCTACTGTGGAGATAACTGTGACATGATTCAGACAGACTGTAAAATTCTGCAAGTAAATCAATCAGAAATGCTGCCAGTTCCATCCCTGGAGTTCCTGATAAAGTCGTAGCCCTGCACCAGGTACTCTTTAGGAAGGTAAAACAACTTCTCCCAAACTTCATTTGGACTCCTGCCACAAAGGCTCCTAGTTCCTGGGAGAAGCTGCTGCAGTGAAAACTCAGCTGAATGGACACTGTTTTGTCAGCTATTTCCAGAACACGATTCTCAGACCGCACTGCACTATACACTATAAAATGTCAGTTAAGTTCAGTGTTGTGAGCCTGCTGAGCTTCTCCTGCTCTGGTAGTCTATAATTAGGCCATTGATTTGTTGTCAGGTTAAATGTAAGTGAGCAACCGTTTTCCAACCGCGCACATAATTTGTATTCAAAAATCCTGTGTTTAATCGTATTATTTACTGAAAAGTCAAATGGAGTGTATGTGATTTATTAAATGTAATTTTAGATATCGAAGCCGTCAGTCTGTGTGTTGGTTACTCCGCCTAACCTCCTGCGGTTAGAGTAGGTTTTAGTGATTAGACACTACTGGTGTTTTATCACAGTATCAAGCGATCGCAAGTTTTGGGTCCAGTTTGGTCTGAGACTTCACGGTGCGCCCTGTGATCCAAACACTTGAAGACCCGAATGGAAATTGTAGAACACGAGATCCACCCTGAAGTGAACCAGTTGTTTTCAGCTAAAACTTGATAGCTTTTAAAGTGGGACAAACACCATTAGAGTTTCATTTATCTTTTTCAAAGAACCTTCCTGCACAAAGCCCAGAACCAGCCACCTTATAGAGCTCACATTGAATATAAGAGCCAAGCTGACTGTATATAAAGATGGATGACATGACTCAACTTCCTCCCACTGCACACGAGACAAACTATGACAGAAATGGCCAAAGTCATCTTGCACAAGTGACGGAATATCAAACTAAAGTGTGTAGAGTATTGACTAAGGGTCAGGACATGGTACTGGGTTCCTCCACCTGCAGAACTGTGAGCACACAGACTTTAAACTTCACAGCCACCACAATGTTGACTGGATTGTAATGCACACTAGCTCTGCACTTCAGTATTTTCTAGATAAACAAAATACTGATTAACTTCAATTTGTTGAGCTAGCTGCATTCATTTAATCAGACTTTATTTGTTGTGTACTTTTGCATACCAACAGAACGCAACACAAAGTTCTTTTTGCAATAAAAACAAACTCTTTCTCCATCCCCACACAAAGCATTAAACCATTCTGCTATAAATTTGCTACTAGATCAAAACAAGGACTGAGAAACTTCGCTAAACAAATCTCAGGAGTTTGCAGAGAGGAAACACCAGAAGCTTTAAAGGCAGAGTCAGTGATTTCACTTCCATGCAGCTTTCATCAAATTAAGAGAACATCTCCTCACAGTCTGTTCAAAGTTGTCCTCGAGTTCACACGCAGCACTGAATCTGCAAAAACGAAGTGGCTCAGACCAGTTCACACAACACTACTCCAATGTGTCCTCAAGTTCGTGCACATTCATGCTCGTGCACAGGACGGAGGGGAAGGGGGTTAAAGTGGGACAGTAAATTTGCCACATGCTGGCAATCTAAATACGCTAACTAGGTGAAAACATTAACAATTGTTCTCCAGAATCACAGATTGCACCTTTAATAGTGCAATCATGAATTGACTCCTTGTCCTAATACACTTTTTAAATTTAATTCACAGCATACTTGCGTAAACAGGTGAAGATGTTTCTCGTTTTTGTCACAGCATACTGCCTTATCTTTATGCTACATAGAACCATGAGCCCATAAACAAAGGCACATGCTAATTTTTGTGTACTTTTACACCCTTACAACATGATAACTTGAAGCAGCTTTCAACTTCAAATAATTCCACTGAGAAGTCTTGAGGTTTAAGACTCTGTTGAAGGAACGTGCCACTGACTGACTCACTAAACTTAATCGAATAAATACTTATTTTATTACCGTACCTCAAAGCATGGATTGTATTGGGACTTTTTTTTTTTCTCCTCTGATTTAAAGTTGCATGACTCACATGTGTTTACGTGGCTTTATGCACGCTGGTAGGTCCACATTTAAGTGCATAAATCTGAACTGGCCATTTAGATACCGCCTGAAAATAACCTGAGGTCAGACTTTTCAGAAACATCTCCGCCGACGACGAAGCAGCAAAACAGCTTCTTCATCCTGTTTTAGTTGTCAAACGACTAATTTGTGTCATCGTCTGGCTCTGGGCCCTCACACACTGCTGAATTTAATTCGGTTAGAGATTTGCACTGTCTTCTGCTTCCAATGTTTCTTTGGAACAAATATAAAATAGTGAATTGACTGCAGCTCAGTACAACACTTAACTTTTCTGGTACGCAGCATATGACTGGGTTTTATCCACCTTCTAGAGCATTTTTATTCAGCCCTGTTGTGAAATTGTATTAAAAGAAATGATTTGAATTTTCAGACATATTCAACTTGGTGTAGACACCGAGGAAGGAATCCTCCAGTCATTTGCCTAAAATAGTTGGAAACACAAACCATGATGGTGGTTAGTATTTCCACACACTCTTTGTAGGTTGCTATACTTAGAAACAATTGCCTGAATCTGATATTGTAGGTAGTGATTCAGTTGTCTGTCAAATGGAAAAGTGAATGTGTAACTGTAGGAATGGGCAGTTAATGTCACAGTATACACATGAGTTTTTGTACTTTTTTTTGGGTAGCTTTGCATTAAAACAACTAATCGAACAGATAACATGAAGTATTTTGCCGTAGTTTGTGTACTTCATTTTATATGATGTATTTTTACAGTGTAGTCAACCATCTGTGCCATGGTCAAAACAATGGGAAGACAGGAAAACAGCTGAATGTGCTTAAAGAGATCCCTCAGCTCTGTCATAACCGCACAGCTGCTGCAGCCAACGTTGCTCTCAGAACAAGAAAGAGGATGGCTTCAAAGTTACACGTGTTTGTTAAGAAATGACCTGAATCCAATCCTCTGACATCTATTTCAGTTCATTATGAACAGAAGATGATGAGATAGGAAATGTTTAGTGTCTAATAGAGATTATTATTCACCTTCATGCTGTATATTTCTCCAAATATAAAATAACTGTGACTCGTTTCTCCAGATTTGTGTTGGGCCATCAACGTCACCATCACTCCCTCCCCCTTCACGGTGGCCCAGGAGGGTCAAAACATCACACTTACTTGTGTGGTATCCCAGCGACGCCGCAATGCCGCTTTACCGGTGGTTAAATGGACCTTTCTCCCGGCGGGAACGGATCAACCGGACGACGAGCTCCTCATCGCCCGCGTCAACATGAGGAAGGCCCGCTTCTATGGCAACTACACGAAGAGTTTCCCATGGCCCAAAATGAAGCTGACGGTGGTGAAGCAGGGGAAGGTCTTCGAGCTGGTCATCTTGAACGTGTCCGAGGGGGACCGGGGGCTCTACATGTGCCGGGTGCAGGAGTTTAAAAAGCACCAGGACCGCTGGAAGGCCTCATCCAACTGCACGGCGGCCACCGAGCTCAGAGGTGAGGGCTTGATTTATTATCTTGTTTTCTTCCCGGCTTTTTCTTTTGCCAAGCAGGCGCTCTGTGATCACACTGTCTCGCATTTGATGATTTGCATACAAGAGGTTTGGGTCAAAACCACCACAGCAGAGTCAAGTCCAAAACTTTTTCCACATGGAAGCAATGCAAGTGATAACAAACACACCTTTGCGTTTGTAAGGCTCGTGCTTACAGATTTAACTGAAGGGATGTTTGCTATAAATATCATGAAGACTTCCTTTAGAATTTCCTAAAGTCGTTTACTCAGCGGTTCTGGCCACTGGTAGGGGAAGAAGGAGTCGCCTAACTGGGTCAAACCTACCATTCCTGGGCATACGGTCATGCAAACGCAGCTTATCGAGTCATATGTCGGCACAAGTGTGAGTCAACATCAGGATAATTAAGCAGAAATGAGAAGTAGCTATAATAGTCATAAATGCAGCTACATGGCAATGAGGCGTAGCAGCTGCTTCAAAGTTAGTCAGGAATAATTAATCAGAAATCAGTAAGGATGCAGAATCAAGGACCTTATCGTCACTAACATCGATTATTTAGTCCACTGTTTGTTTTCTTATTAATCCCATACCAAGTAAAACCCAGGTGGCTGATATCAATACAGCTACTGATACTCGGTATAAAAGTTGAATGTGTTCAGAAAAGACAAATAAAAAGTAGCCTCTTACTATTCAATTTCCCTGACATCTTGTGTGTGTTGCTGCTCTTGAAATGCCTGTAAAACACATGATTAATTAAGTAAATGTCATAATAAATACAGGACGGGGTCAATAAGTGTCAGCTGTTGGTGAAAACAAACAAGGCCAGGTCAGTGGCTACTCATTGGCCTACATTCACTGTGATGAAGTTTGTCATTTCAGCATCACAGCCTTTGAATAGAACTGAGAATATGTTGTTGAATCGACGTGAACTGATCCTTGAAACACAAATCTCACTCCGACATTAACTCAAAAATTCCAGTCCCGATCTTTATGCAGCTATTTATTGTGGCAATTATTTACTTCGTCACTCACTGCAAAACACATTTTATTTTAGTATTTATTCATATCGATTGTAGTTTTAAGAACGACAGCGGCTCTCGCTTCAAACTGAAGCTGAGATGAGATGAATCACTTTCCCACCGTCACTGATTACGTCACCATAGCACACATTTATAGAGCCGTAGTTCACATATGACAGGTGGAAGGAGAAGCAGTTCCTAGAAAGCATGTTTTACTAGGACTAGATGGTGGTGGTGGCACATTTACATTCCCGTGTCCTCTGTTCGTTGTAAAATGCACATTTACTGCAAATTATAGCGTTTAAATATTGATCTTTGAGGAAAAATGTTGGGATTAGAAGTATTGATGTTTCAGTATCGATCTGCTCGCCACCAGTTAAAGCTGGATAAAGCAGCAGTTGGCTCCTGAGCTGTTCACTAGTAGCTTAACTATCTAGTGAATTTTGTCAGTCTGGGTTACTTGATTTACAAGAAAGTCAAGATCAAGTTCATTTTAAAATGTTTAAGTTGAATTAGGACATACCAGAAAAGGAAACTGATGCATTTACACATGTTGTAAATCCTTTGAAATTCATGAAACGTGACTTAATCTGGTGTCAGTTGCACGTATGCTATTTTTGAAACTGCTTACTCATGGAGTTTGTGGACAAAAGTTAAGGTTTTGATCCAGGCGAGATGTGATGAATAAGATAAAAAGCAGCAACAAGCAGCATTGTGCTTCAGGACTCTTAGAAGTTGTGTTATTTCTAATGCATCTCATAGCAAATAGTGTTGCTTTAAATTGCTGAGGCTGCGAAAATTTTCCTAAAGTACTAAAATAAAAAAAGAGCTACAAAAGGCTGGGATCGCTACATTTGTGGCCCACTTTCTCACAGAATGACATCACTGCTTTTCACAGTGCCGGGCGGAGACTTGACAGCTATTCTTCCAACCACAACAGAAGCAATGACAAATGCCGGTTTGATAATAGTGTAACCGCAAAGAGGTTTAAGCAGAAGCAGGTTTGTCTGCAGGGATTTGCCAGCAGCAGAAAACGGTGACGACTACTGAGCAGCTCCCAGCTACACAAACGAAAGAGAGCGTGGACATCCTGTTAACTCTCTGTCAGTACTGTGGGCATGAAATTAAAGATTGTGTATGTAAGAAAAGGTAAGGGGCATAACGCATCTTTGTGCCAGCACATTTTAATTACCCCAAGTGGGATTTTAAAGCAAGTGGACTGATGTGACTGGTTCTTACGCTTACAGACCCCAAGAGGCCCAAGCAAACTCAAACTGTGATAACTATTTGTCCTGGGGGAGCCATTCAGTGTCTCCAGTAGCAGCAGTGTCTCTGACCACAGCCAGATGATCTAATTCATCTGGCTGAAGACGCCGCTGAAGTGGATTCAGTGAGCTCAAGCACCGTCCTGCTTTTGATTTGGGAGGGGAAACGTCATTGGTTAGGAACAAGCCTGGAGATAAAAGGATCCTGCGTCTCAATAAGTTGCGGCTCTGACTGAATAAACGATCCTGGAGAAAGAGCAGAGAGTGTGAGGTTTCAATGCCACGGCTGGCACACAAGACGTTCACACAACGGAATGGATGACACATCCACTGGTACCAGATACTGCGCTGAAATCCCTTCACTTTCACAAAACCAGAGGCTTCTTTGAAAGCATTTTTTTCTTCTCCCTGCTTTTCATTTGTGGCAGACTTACAGTTCAAATGTTGAGCAACAGACGTAAAGACAGCGTTTTGTCTCCAAATTTGGTGCTAATTGTTGCTACACCTGTCGACATATGGCACATACACAGTGTACGATGATAACAGTGGCCAGATTTAAAACTCAAAAATATGAGTAAATAGGTAATAAGCAGGCTTCACATGCAGACGGGTGACAAATCAAAGGAAAAACCAACATAAAGTATCTTAATAAGGTGTTGTGGCACCACATGCTGCCAGAACAGCTTCAATGCTGGCCATGGTCCTCCAATCTCTGAACTCTACTGGAGGGATAGACAGCATTCTTCCACAAGATATCTGGAAGAATGCCTTTTGTGGAAAGATATTGACTTAGGTGACATTTGGTGTTTTGATGATAGTGGTGAAGAACGGTGTCTAACATGTCAGTCCAAGATGTTCAATCGGGAATCCAGGCTCTTAATACAATTGAGAATTTGTGGCTGGACTTAAAAAGGGCTTTTCACTCATGATCCCCATGTAACCTGACAGATCTTGAGTAGTTTTGCAAAGAAGGAAGGGGTAAAGTTGCAGCGTCCAGATGTGCAAGGCTGACTGAGACCCATCCACACAGGCTCAATGCTGCAGTTTAAAGGTGCATCTACTGAACACTTGCTTATAGACGGATTGATTGGTTACTCTGTAGAAAACTGTTTTCACTTTTTGTAAATTCTTGTCAAATTATGTTGACCACACTTCAATGTAGAAAAGCAACAAAAGAGGACTTTTTATAGACACTACAGATCTGGTGACTGTGAAGGCCACAACATACAATTAATATCAAATTCATCAAACCACTCAGTGCCATTTGGATGTGTGGCATTAGAACTACTATTTTACAGTGACTCGTTCCTCTAAGGGGACAAGTGGTCCCAAACAACGCCAACAAAATGCCTTTCATAGCATACCAGAGGCACCCGATCCTTAACTGTAGGGGTCTAGGGTTCAGGATTTACCTTGAATTCATCACTTTTCTGTTTGTAGGTGGTGGCCATCGATTCGGCAGCTAAAAGGAAAGATTTTATGAGCTATTGCTAACCAGCTGATTCAACTGAAGATGCTGTCTCCAGATGTTCATAGCTGTCTTGTACTGCAGCGTACAGCTAGTTGGTGCTCATCTCATAAGTACCTGTTTAGCTTAGCTCACAAATTTAAAAGCATTTTTTTTCACTGTTTTAGTAAATTATATTCCCATTTAGAGTAAAATAGAGGATAAAACGGGGCATGTTTTAAGGTAGTTCTTACATGTCATAGTCAAGATGCTACTGTTTGGGTGTGTTTAGTGTCCTCAAGTTCTCAGTAATCCATTCCTCACTTATCACAAAACCAACATAGTGACGGCCAAACTCAAGATTTTAATGCGGTAGGCCGCAAACCAATGTGTGACGTCATGGTGGCCACCTCCATCTTTTATGGGATAAATAAACTGTTTCTTACATTTTTGCTTGCGTTTTTGGTTTTAGGAAGGCTAGAAAGTAAAAGATACCACCCTCTTCTGAAAATGCCAAACAGATCACTCTTACTTGCACAAATCACTTTACGATATGGAGTAATCCAAAGCTTGACAGACCTGCCTGCCTAGTAATGGCTGCTAAGCTATGAGTAGCCATCCACTGGGTTTAGTAAAAGGTTATTTACTGTGCACAATGTCCACACCTGTCAGTCAGAAGGAGTGGACGGTCCCTGAAACTGTCTGTTTTTCATATTAACTTTGCAAGAGTTTTGGTTAATGGTTAGAGAGCCCTTGAAAAGGCCTTCATGAGATATTGCTCCTTTAAGAGTGATTGTCGTGAATCACAATGTTTCATCCTTGCAACAAATCTGAAGACACTTCATCTTTAAATTTATTACCGTAGTACTGTCTTTCCTCTCCACACTCTGCTCACCACATTTTCCATGGAAGCGTTCCTGCAGTCTGTGACTTTCAGGGTGTCAAGCCCGGCCAAGTCTGGGCCCGAGCAGACACGCAGTCCCTACCGAGAGCTGTTGACATTGGCCTCGACGTGGAGTTTCCCTCCCGAAAGTAGAACAGACGGAGAGTCCAGAGAGACTCAGCAGAAATGGAACAAGAGATAGTTGTGCCGAGGAAGGTAAAGCTTGCACGTTTGTCCGCGGCGACAGTTGAGTGGGCAGCTGGCTCGTGTCTGGCTCCTAACCTTTAGTGGTCGAGGATGTGGGGAGCTATTTTCATTCAAGGAAGCGCCGGTCCATTGTGGTTTTGGTGATAATAATTTTTAAAAAAAGCC